ACTCATCACTTTCCAACACTGTTCATTGAGCACTCACGAGGCAGGCCTTGCGCTGAGAGCTGGATTCCCTGCGGTGAACGTAACAGACCCCTGTTCTGCTATGATGCTCCTGCAGGACAGATGAAGGGAAGATGCTAAGACACCAGGGCAGCGCCACAGGTACAGCTTCCAACAGGACGGTGTGTCTGGCAGGCCTATGAGGATGGAGCATCTCAACGAAACTCCAACAGGGTAATGGGATGGTCCACACGAGGTCCTGGGAAAGGGAGTTCTGCAGGAAGAGCAGCCATCATAGAGGACGAAGCTGGGCCGTAGGGACATATCTGAATCAATGGGAAGCCAGTCTGCGTGGGTAAGGACCAGGAATCCAGTATAGGAGGGATTAGGTACTGGGGGCTTAATGAAGACTCCCAGACTCAGGCAGGGGGCATGTGCAAATAAATACGGGGAGTCCATGAAGACAGGAATGACATCTCTTTTCAGTGATGGAAAATACCTGGCTGCTGTCCTCTCTTCAAGGATGTGAGCATAAAGTCTGGTGTGGGCGTGGCTTCACAGTTGTGGTTACTCAAACTATGTATATAGTCACTGAGACTTGAACACGACCTGCCGCCAGATAGTGTTAGATCGTGGGCTAGTGCAGAAAGACACGTCATTCCATAGAACAGTGGTATTAAAATATTTCCAGAGCTGACCTTGAAAATGCCTGGTTCACTGTCTGCTCTAATAACCTCAGTGTGGCACATCATTCAGCTGAAAACCCTATGCTGAGAAGGGCCCGTGGGCTTTCTGTAACTTCCTCCTCCTGACTCTCCACCAGGTTAGGACCCTTGGGGCCATTGTGAGGATACTGGGTCTCTCCTGGAGGGAGTAGGGTGCTATTGTGGGTACTGGAGCAGGAGTGTGCTCTGAGCATGCAGCAGGAGGGTTGGTAGGGAGCGCCCAGGAGTTTGAAAGGCAAGGGGGTTAGTTGCCCCTTATAGTTCTTGCCTGGTGTCAGGACTGGTTCCTGCCAGACCTAAGACTTCTAACCTTGGGAGCTGAAGGCTGGGATACAGGCTTTTTTTTGAGACAAGGTTTCACTGTGTATCCCTGGCTGTCCTGGAACTCATGCTGTAGACCAGGCTGGCCTCGAGCTCAGAGATCTGCCTACTTCTGTCTCCCGAGTGCAGGAATTAAAGGCATGTGCCACCACCACTTGGCAATACAGGTTTGTTATGGGTGCAGGCAGGACAGTGGCAGGACCCATGAAGATGGAGAGGAGGAATCTTGAATCAGGTATGTTGTAGGGGGCCAGGATGGCTTGAGGTGCACTTTCATAGAAACAGTAAAATCATCACCAGGCCTCTCTCTTACTCCCTTCTGCTGTGCCAGGTGCGGTACTGAGAGCCTTTTGTGAACTAAACCACATGCTTGCTACAGATACTCAGGGATGTGGTACTAGTACCCATGAATAACCCAGCACTGTCAATATACAAACTTTACAAAAGGAAACAAGTCTAGAGACTATGAGTGACTTGGCAAAGCTTCTCAGTAGCAAGTAGTTTAGTTCTTAAAAAAGAAAATGGCAGTATAAGGACAGTGTGATTTGTGTACACGTGTGTGTGTGTGTGTGTGTGTGTGTGTGTGTGTGTGTGTATAGAAGGCAGAGGCTACTGAGGAGAGAAAAGCTGTTCTTTCTACATGGGAAAGGAGGGATCCTGGCAGGTTGTAGCTTCTATTTTTTTTTCTATTGAAGAAACTGAGGACCAGAGAGGACCAAAGGCATTTCCAGTTAGTGAAACTGTGGTCCTCTGACTCCCTGGTTTTTGCCCCTCTCAGCCTCCCTCCTGTTTTGCCAGGCAGAGGAAGCTGGAGAAGGAGCATCCTTAGGAGACATGCTCACATTCCCCATATGTAGTCACAGCTTCTCCCAAGCCCCTTGGCCTCCAACCATCACTCATGACGGTGCCTGAATATTCCCTGTCGGCGTGCAGCTGTGTAAGGCAGGCACTCCATGTGCAACCATGCATAACATCGTTCAGTCCTCACACCCTCATACAGAGGTGCTATTGTTGCCCACAGAAGACCAAACAAATTGAAACCCAGAGAGGTTATGACACCCACAGGGCCATGTGGCTGAGGGGTACAAGGACCTCGAATCTGGCATGGCAGTCAAGGATGACAAAGTCCTTGGCACATGCTATCTAGGTGATGCCCAGAAGTCCATGCACTGCCCCCCTCTTTTTTTTTCAAGATAGGGTTTCTCTGTAGCTTTGGTGCCTGTCCTGGAACTAGCTCTTGTAGCCCAGGCTGACCTCGAACTCGAGATCCTCCTGCCTCTTCCTCCTTCAGCAAATCCTATCGGCATGTGCCACCACAAGTGGCCTGCCCCCTTTCAATGACTTTTACTCCCAGTTTACCAAATGCATAACTGAGACAGCAGAGGCAAAGTAATGCATACTAATTATCCTGCTAGTCATGGGCAGTCCAGCTGCCTGGCCCAGGGTCTATGCTTTCGGCTCCTACATGGTCTTGCTGCCCTTGGCATTTGCTACAGTCCCCAGTGCCCACAGGGGTTGCAATCACTCTCTGAAGTAGGCCATTTCTGCAAGTAACAGCTCGGAACCCCCAAGAACAGCTTTCCCAGAGACACCTGTGGGGAAAGTCTGTTGCAAGCATGGCTTCAGGGTCAAAGGGATCCTCCTGCTGAGTTCCTACTGCACACCAGACCCTTAACACACACTTGTGTCCTGGAAATCCTCCAGGAAATCTACGGGAGCTAGAGAGTGGGTCCTGCTTGCGGGTGAGGGTGTTGGATCACAGTCAGGGGAAGTGACTTGCCCAGAGTCACTCAGTGGGTGAGCGGCTGAGAGATGAACCAGCATATGACTGTCAAGCCCATCCTCTTCCTGTGTGCTGCTTTCACGCTGCGATGCTTCTACCCTGGCAAAGGAGGGGGATGCCTAGGCTAGCTTGAAAGACACTTAGCCTAAAGGAATGCTGATGTGAGCAGTCCCTTCCCTAATTGCAGCCCACCTATGCCCCGTGCTCAGTCCCGAATAGTGAGGGAAGAGCAGGAGACCCTCTCAAGGAGCAGAAGAGGGATGCTTCTCCCAGCCCCACACTGTGTCCCAGTCATCAAGGCCTGCTTCCTGAAGGTCTGACTTGGGGAGGTTCTGAGATCTGGAGGTCAGTCTGACCTGTCTCCCAATCCCCAGTGCCGTCTACAACCCAGGACATGCTCAGCAAGCAAGTAGGTGCTTGGTAAGTACATGCAAAATGCATGGACAGGTCTCAGAATGACCTTGGCTAACTTTGACTTTTCTTTATCTAGTATTATTTTATTTTTCTTCAATGTCCAGAGCCTCATGCCTGCTAAGCACAAGCCCTGCCATGGAGCTGACCCCCATCTCATTTCCTCACACTTTTATTAATCCTCTCAGCCTTATTAGCAGAGCCTCCATCTCCCCAGACAGCAGCATCAACACTGTGCAGTCTTACTTCATCTTCACAGTAGCCCTCTGCAGAAGCGGCCACGCGCATCCCATTTTACAGATCAGAACACTGAGTATTTGGAGAGGCAAACAGGGGCATTCAAAGTCCATGGTGGGCCAGCGAAGAAGATCGCTTTCTCACTAGACTCTGCCTGGCCTCAGACTCTAAACTGAGTGACCAAGCAGTGATGAGTGGCCCAACCTTCTCAGCATCACCTCTGTGGGCCTCTAGACCAACCAAGTCATAGGGGCCAGAATCAAGCAGGCTGTGTCTTACCAGGATCATGAAGTGACTTCAAGGCTCAGTGGGGTGTGAGTAGAGCCAGCCCGGAATACTGTTGTGTCACCCCTTAAACAGCCCTACCAGCAACTTTACCGAGGGGCTAAAGTTCCTGGTGGCCATCATTACCGCTATCACTATCCCATTTTCCAGGTTATAAAACTGAGTCTGGGCCAAAACACAAATCCAAGTCTTGTTTCCAAAGCACTTATCTTCAGCAACCCCCCACCCCACCCCATGTGTAAAATAAACGTATGGAATGAGAGGAAAGGGAAGAGCTGGGTAGTCAGATTACAGCTCTACCTTGGCCCTAGCGGGACCCTGCTCTGGGCTCTGGCCATGGTGCTGAACCCACAGGCTACAGGCTGTACTGCTACTCAGGGTGAAGAACTGAGTCCCTGGGAGGCAGCTGGGACGCAGTGTCTGGTCTCACTCCCACAAAGCGGGAAACCCAATGATAGCACTAGGGTGTACTTTCTACTGCTCCGACCTCAGCAAGTCGGGAAAGGGTCGAAGGGACTGGAGTCAGTCTGTGCCTTTAAGAGCAAAACACAGGTCTGATGGGCAAGCCAGCTGCTCTGAGGAGATGGATTAACTCCTTCCTTCTCAGCTCAAGAGAAAAGGGTGACGGTCTAGGGACAGACTTTCCTAGCCTCAGACTGAAGAAGACCCCCGCCAGAACCGAGGGCCTGGGAGCTATGCGCTGGGGGCTCACGGAGTCTGGAACAGCGGGTGGGAGAGAAGGCTGGCCCAAAGTGAGGCTGCCTCGGTTCAGCCCCATCAGGCCGTCTGCCGGCAGGGCCGGTCTGTCCCCGGCCTTTGTCTCTGTTTAGGTGTCCCCAGGAGGGAACGAGGCCTAAGGAGATGCTCCCGGAATTGGGGCTGGGCTCTGCGGCCGGGCAGGACAGTCCCCCGTGCCACCTGCCCCTCGCGGCGGTCCCCTCCCAGCCTCCAGTCCGCACCCTGCGCCCCCTCTACCTTCTGCGAACTGAAGGACTGGGTCCAGTGGTACAGAACCAGGCTCTCCTTGGGCCAATGGGCGGGGCTGGACGCCTCGGGCGCGTCGGGGGCCTCCACCGGCTTGGCTGCATCGCTTTCCAGCGCCGAGATGGGCCACCAGCTGCAGTTGGTGGGGGTCAGGTTGTTGGGGGTCGCCATGACAGCCCGCGATCGGAGGAGGAAGAAGGCGGCTCGGCGGCGGCTCGCTGGCGCCCAGCATCACATGGCCTCACCGAGCCTGCCCCTCTCCCTCCTCCCCCTCCCCGCGATGTCATTACTCACTGGGTGCAGGGGGAGGGGCAAGGGGATCCCGGGGCTCTTTCCTCCTCCTTTCAGCTGTAGGTCCTCCCCGAGGGCCCCAGGGAGGGAAAGATGCGGGAAACAGGGGCGAGTGGGCCGTACCCCCAGAGTACTCAGCTGGCCAGTCATCTGCCAAAGACCCTACCATCATAACACATCTCAATCTTGCGAAAGCGCCTCTTAGTTTAGGTAAATGGCAATATAGAGGTCCATGTAACCCTTTTCACAAGTAGTGTTTGAAGATAGCTCTATTTGAAACTGCCGTTTTCTGACTTACCTCTCCTAAAGGGCTTCCGACAGCAGAAGGGATGAACTGCAATCTGTTAACCACATGGTTGCTTACTCTCTACCCAGACACCGCACTAAGGGTTTTACAGTTGTCCAACCTTTTGGCCTGTTTTACAGAGGAAGAAAGGAAGACTCCGAGAAGTGACCTTGCTCAAGGTGACTGAGCTGCTAACTGGTGGAGCAGAGATTCAAACTCGGGCTGGCTGTATGAAGGACAGGACCAACTGGTGATTTAGCAGCCCTGCAAGCAGCAACTCAATCCTGTTAAAGAATCATGTTTTTCAGCTGTGTGGACGTGATGAGAAGGGAGAGGTGCCATTAGTGTCATCCTAGATCACACCTTTACCCCAGAAGATGTAGCCAGGTAGGAGTCTACTTTGTGTTTCTTTTGTGAGCATCTTGAATGTTATTTGGGACTTTCTGTAAAGTTCCTTTAGTGCACCCATGCTTCTCTTGGAGAATCTTTTATCTTTTTTTAAAGATTTATTTATTTATTTTTATGTGCATGGGTGTTTTTGTGTGTATATATGTGTGTGTGTGTGTGTGTGTGTGTGTGTGTACTATATGCATGCCTGGTACCATATGTACTATATGACACCAGAAGGTGGTATCGGATCCCCTGGAACTGAAGTTACAGATGTGAGCTGCCATGTGGGTTTGAACACCAGTCCTCTGGAAGAATAGCCAATGCTCTTAAGTGCTGAGCCATCTCTTCAGTCCCAGAATGTTATGTCTTAGCTTACCTTTGAGAAGTGGACCCTAAGGCAGTAGGTGAAAATGCAGTTGTTGGCCCCTTAAGGAGGAGAAATTCCCAGACATATATCCTTGGGCAATGCCTGCAAATATCGCAGAATGAACTTACATAAACCAGTTTTACTGAGAACCACTGTCTCTTGAGTCCCATTGTCAGACCCTGCTCTTATGAGTTGATATAACTAGAAGAGTAGCCTCTTGGTTTGCTACTCTGGACTCCTGGGTACATCATCTCACAGTGTGGCTTCCATTTTTCCCTTTATGCTGTGATTGCCAGGAAGCTAGGAGCTGCTTCTTCTAAGTCTCATTGTCACACTAGCCTCCCTGTTCTGGAAATTCTTTGTCACGTTCTATGGTTTTTTTTTTTTCTTCTTCTTTCTCTTTGGAGTGTTTTGTTCACAGTTTGGTTTTGCAAAGAAAGATTACTAGTCAGAGTTCTCTAGAGGGACAGAACTGACAGAATGAATATATTTCTCAAAGGGGTTTTTGTTAGATTACTGTACATGGACAGGCTGAGTAGTCTGGTATGCTGGAGAGCCCAGGAACCCAGACGCTGCTTAGTCTGTGAGGCTGGGTGTTTTAGCAGTTCTGACTTGGTGATGAAGGCCTGAAGGATTCCTGGAGAACCTCTGGTCTTTATGTTAGAAGGCCAAAGAAGCTGGGTTCTGGTACCAGTGAAGGGCGGGACGGTGGCGGCAGCAGCAGAGTAGATGCACTCTCCAGTAGGGCACAAAGACTGACAGAGAAAAAGCAGCATTTCCTTTCCTTTAGATCCCTTTATTCTGGGCCATCGACAGAAGGTACGTACCTATGGTAAGGGAGGAAGTCTCTCTCCTTCAGTTAGTCAGGAAAGCAAAACAGCCAGCCACTGGCCCTTACCTCTACCTCAGTCTAAAATGGCAATCCTGCCTCCAGGAATCTCAGAATGAGACTGTGTGGGTGCAGCAAGCAAGCCGCAGGTGGATGGGTAGGGTGTTTTGCCTGCATGTATGTCTGTATGCCATTTATGTGACTGATGCCAGAAGAGGGTGTTCGATCTCCTGGGAACTAGCGTTACAGATGGTTGTGAATTGCCACGCTGGAAACTGAACCTGGGTCTTCGGCAAGAGCAGCAAGTATTCTTAACCACTGAGGCAGCTCTCCAGCTCCCTATTTGATTCTGAAACAGGGTCTTATTCTCTGTAGCCGGGAACTCTCAGTCGTCTTCCTGCCTCGGCTTCCTAAATGCTGGGATGACAGGTGTGAGCTAGCACAGCCAGCTTAGACTGCATATCTGGCATAGGCTGTTATATGTGTGCTCGTGTTTACATGTGAATGCCTTTCCTCCCTCCCTCTATCCCTCCCTCCCTCCCTCCTTCCCTTCCTTTGAGATTGAGGCTCACTCTGGCCTAATCTAGAACTTTTGGCAGTTATCTTGTCTTTGTCTCCCTACTGCTGGAGTTACAGGGAGAGTTACTGTGACCAGCTTTAAAACAAGGAATTTTCTTACATTAAACACAACTTTAATGCTAAAAAAAACCTTCTTAGTAGGCTCCTAATAATTAGCCCCTGTTCAGATTTCTTCAGTGTTGCTAGTTTAACAAGGATTAATCAAGGACAACCCAACAAATTTTATTCCTCCGTGTGTCTTTTACATCTAGGCTGATCTTTGTTCTCTTTTCCTCATGATATCAACTCATGGGGAAGATTGGCCCAATTGTCTTGTAGAATATCTACTCTGAAGTTGCCAGACTGACACACAGTGATGCCCTTCAGCTTCTTGGACTCTCTCTCTCTCTCTCTCTCTCTCTCTCTCTCTCCATCCTTTCTTTGAAGTGCTAGGGATGGAACCTGGGAGTCTCATGTATCCCAGGCAAATGTTCCAGGCCAGTCCCTGTATTTCTTTTTCTTTTAAGGTGGGACCTCACTATTTAGCCCATGTGGCCTGGAACTCACTATGTAGACCATGCTAACTTCAAACTCACAGGCATCTGCCTGATTCTGCCTCCTGGGATTAAATGCATTGGCCATCATGCCCTGCTAGCCCTGTATTTTAAAAAACTAGTTAGCCTAGTCAACTAGAATTTTAATTCTTATTTCTGGTTGGGGCTATGGGTTCCACGTTTTCTCAGATTACAGTCACAGTGTTTGTAATTATTCCACTATAAATGAGGCCAGGTTTAACAATCCTAGCACAGTGTGATAAGTGCCGTTACAAGGACAAAGAAGGGATTGAGCGACATCAGGGAAAAGCAAACCGAGGAAGTCCCCCATGCTTATCTATGGGGAGAATATTTAATTTATCAAATTTATGAATTTCTCAATAAATCTAGTTTGTTTTGGAGATAGGGTTTCACTGCATGTCCCTAACTGGCCTGGAGCTCACAATATAGACCAGGCTGACCTTGAACTGATAGATTCTGCATAGACGTGCCCAGAGGCTTGTCTCCCGAGAGATTCCAGATCCTATCAGGTTGACACACAGCCTCTGTTTATCCCGTGCTCTGTGAAGACTGATGTCCGATTGTGAGGTACCGCCATGGCCTGCCTGGGAATGGCATGTCGTATGTTTCCTTCCTACAATTCCATGAAATCTGAATCCCAAAACGCAACTCAGAAAAGATACAGAGAATGAGCTGAGTCCTCTAGGAAACGAATTTGGCAGGATGTAAGGAAAGTCTGTTGAAGGTGTCTGACATCTGAAGGGTTCATCCTGGAAATCATTGGTTAATTCCCAACTCAGCCTTATCTTAGACAAGATGGAACCAAACCGCAGGCCAGCCAGACTCCCAGGAGGACAGCCATACGACAGAGAGAGAGAGACAGACAGAGAGAGAGAGAGAGAGAGAGAGAGGGGGGGGGGGGGGGGCTCTGTTCTAAGGCGAAGGCACACACGCTCTTACTGGAAGGACGGTGTTAGGTCTTCCAACTAGAGCTGTCCCCACCCCTCCCGCAAACCTGTGGAAGCTGCAGAGCCGTTCCCAGTGTCACCAGCACAATTTGTCCTCAGAGGTCTGGGCCTTGTGGCCCCCATGCTGTGGACCATCTGTTCTTGGGTTCTCTGATAGGAGGTCTGAGCATGTGCTGGGCTTGAGGAAGCAATAGGGAGCCTGCAGGCTCTTCTGTCAGGGAAGGACTTCCCAGACTGGAGGACACCATAAGAGAGGGCGTCTTGCCCAAAGATCCCAAGGCTTGGTAGGTGGTTCTTATTCTGACAGACTTGCTTTGTAAGGTTCTGGGCCAGTCAGACTGAAAAAAAAAGAAAAAAACACAAAAACTCTGGGATGGAAGTTACAGCTGAGTGAGGAAAAAGTTTCAAGCTAACTGGAAGGGGTGGAGCCAGGAGATAGAGAGCTTCCTGCATGATCTTCACTGTGGCACGTCACATGAGACATCTGTGCTGGACGTGAACTTGAAGGAGTCCTCCACTGAGCCTGAAACATGGAGCCATCTCAAGGCAGGGTGGCTGGGTCACATGGCGAAAAGAAAGCCATGCCTGTGCTTCTTCCCGTGGCTGCTTAGACAAAGCCTTTATGAACTGAGATGTGCCTGTCTGGGCTGCCCTCTCCTTGTTCCGAAGTCCTAGGTCAGTGCCTGCTGTTGAGTCCCCAGCATCTGACATTAAACAGTGGCTATCCAATAGATAACTGTTGACTGAAATATAATTGGTTGAACATGAATGTTAATCCCTTAATAGTTTCTGATTTGTTATTCTTGCAAATAACAAGATACCTTGGCATCTTTCTGTGCCTTTTATAAATGATTTATTTATTCTTATTTTATGTGCATTGGTGTTTTTAGATTTCGTTTTTATGTCTGTGTGAGGGTGTCAGAACCCCTGGAACTGGAGTTATAGGCAATTGTGAGCTGCCATGTGGTTGCTGGGAATTGAACCCAGGTCCTTTGGAAGAACAGCCAATGCTCTTAACCTCTGAGCCATCTCTCCAGCTCCCTTAAAAAGCATTTTTGGCCAGGTGGTGGTGGTACACACCTTTAATCCCAGCACTCGGGAGGCAGAGGCAGGCGGATCTCTGTGAGGTCGAGACCAGCCTGGTCTACAAGAGCTAGTTCCAGGACAGGCTCCAAAACCACAGAGAAACCCTGTCTCGAAAAACCAAAAAAAAAAAAAAAAAAAAAAAAAAAAAGAATGAGTTCAAGACAGTCAGAGCTATTACTCAGAGAAACCCTGTCTCAGTAAAGCATTTTTGTTAAGTGTTCATATTTTCAGTATTTTTTTTCTCGTATTCTTCATCTGGCTTCTCTCTGAACTACAAAAGCAACCACAAAGGGGATTGTTAAATTAGGATCAGATAAATAATGATTGAACAAGCTTTTGTTTTAAGAAACAAGATTGCTAACTGCAAACAACCGTAGCTCAGATAATAGAGCACCTGCCTAGCATGCATGAAGCCCTGGGCTCCATCCTCAACACCTAATCTGAGTGTGATAGCAAACACTTGTATTTCCAGCACTCTGCAAGTGGAGACAGGAGGATCAGAAGTTCAACATTGTCCTTAGCTCCACAGTGAGTGTGAGACCGGCCTGGTATACGATGATACCCTGTTTTAAAAAGCGAAATAATAAGAAGAAACAAATTCACACATTATGCAGTTAGTCAAGTCCTGCTGTAAG